ATTTTCTAGAAAGACCCAATGAATATCGTAAAAGCATCAATTGAGACACAATTGGAAGAACAATCCACTAAGACAGTCTGTGCTTCTTGATACCTAAGAGCTGACTGCACAATGCTACCTAAGTTTTAAGACTCATTAGGATATGCTATTTGCTCTAATACTGCAAAATTGCCTGAGTTGAATATTTCTGTATCAGCATCAGTGTTGTTGGTCTCTGTCTTTTGCAGAGTTATGATATTGCTGAATATTTATTAGACAGCCTAGAATATGGAACATGTCGTTAGTTTCTTATGGCTGGCTTTTTAAGGGAAATGAATCTGTTTCTCAGAAAAAAAAGAAAGAAAGAAAAAAAAGCCTCTTTTACAGAAAGTAGAAATTTCTTGAGGTAAATCATTTCCTGGTAGAAAAGCTTATTCAATAATGTGGATGATAATAATGCTAGCACTGATCTTTGATTCTTCTTCAGAGCACTGTAAATCTGGTTTCCAAGTACACTGTAAACCATGAATTTTTTCTTTGTTATGAGACTCCCTGGCACACTTTGTTGTTAGCACACATAGCTGCAGCAGACTAGATGTTGTTAAATGCATCTGAGGAACATAAAAAGTAACAGTATAAGAGCATAAGATGAGGAATTTACTTTAGAGGATAATTTTATACTGTGTTAGTTTTGAAATAATGTACAGTGTCATTGCTGTCATAGCACAGTTGGTATCTGGTAGCCAACTACCATGTATGTTTACACACAGTTTCTTTTATCCCCTCTTCATTTGGATTCCAAGCCAAGAATGAAGAAAGCACCTTGCTTTTTGGAATTGAATCTGAGCACCATACCTTCTGTAATTTTAACTGATTTTTCAACTCCCTGGTGCTTGCTGAAATGTAAATTGTTTGATGATATTCTAAGTACATTCAATTAATATTTCTCATAGTGGGATTGTGTGTCATAGCATTTGGCAGTGCTTTATTTAGCTAATGTCCAGAGAATACGCTCTGAATGGATTGTATTTGGGATAAATAAGTTAGACATTTAAGCAGAAACCAGTGTGACTAATGTGGGATATCAAATTCTCTAGGACTTGCAGTTCTGTATGTGCTTGAGGAATGCATGCATGAAAACATAAGCCATTTCATAACCTTGACTTTTGGTTGTGCAACGTAGCTTTGTGCTGGTGTTTGCATTCTAACCAGCTTGGGCAATTTTAGCCTTGGTGGATGCCTGATGTTCTCTACTGAAGCGTCCAGTTCGTTGTTTTGCTACCACGGGTGCTGTAAAAGCCTGCTGGTCAGATTGGCTGTACTGAAGTCTTTTAACTGGAGTGGATGTCTTTATAATTAGAAAATCATGCCCTGGATGGACAACAAAACTGGCGAGGAGTCTGGAGAACAAGTCTTATGAGGAGCAGCTAAAGGAACTGGGATTATTTAGTCTGGAGAAGAGGCTCAGAGGTGACCTTATTGCTCTCTACAACTATCTGAAGTGAGGTTGAGGCGAGGTGGGAGTCAGCTTCTTCTCACATGTAACTAGCAATAGAATCATAGAATCATAGAATCACAAGGTTGGAAACAACCTGCAAGATCACCTGGTCCAACTGTCTTCTCATTACCATTGCTACAAAATAGGATGAGAGGGAACGACATCCAGTTATGCCAAGGGCAATTCAGGTTGAACATTAGGAAAAACTTCTCCAAAGGAGTGGTCAGGAGCTGGAACAGGCTGCCCAGGGAGGTGGTGGAGTCACCATCCCTGGAAGTTTTCAAGAAACATGGATATGTGACACTGAGACACGTGGTTTAGTGGGAAATATTGTTGATAGGTGGATGGTTGGACTGGGTGATCTTGGAGATCTTTTCCAACCTTGGTGATTCTATGATTCTGTGAAGTGCAAAATTGTATCTAGTTTGGTAACATCTTGCACATGATGCCATTATCTGAATATCATCATAAGAGGGTTCATATAATTATTCACCCTGAATTTTCCAGGCAGGAACATTTTTTTCTTTGTGTATAGATAGCTGGTAGATAACTGACACTGCCATAGTGCATGTGACACTGTACATCAGGTAAAAAGATGAGATCCACAATATTTGAGGATTTAAACTGCAAACGTAACAGTTCTCCAGCTGCCCATTTTCAGTGCAAGGTGTTGCTTGCTGTCTCTGTTTCTGCCTCCATCTCTGCACCCTGGAGCTGTTCTTTTGGAATGAGATAAGGAGCCAGAAGGGCCAGTCTCGCTCCCCCAGCTCTGTGGCATACTTTAATGCTACCCCTCTCATGGCAGCAGGGAGGTATGGCCAGGCTGACTTTGGCTGCAGTTTTCCTCCCACCCGTAGGTTTTGCACACTGTATTACGCAGACGTCCTCCCCAGGTTATGTACTTTTTGCATTGTATAATTTGTTGGTAAATCAGTACAATAAGATGGTCTAAGATGTGACTTTCTGTGAATGTGAACATTTTAAACTATTTTAGGCACGTTTTGGTTTTGTTTTTCTTGGGAAAGATAGTAGTGTTTTGATGTGTGGAACTGGAATAGGAAATCTTGAGATCTTTTCTCAAGATTTCTGCTGTAAGCTCATGTTGTGATACTGGATCCAAGACCTTATGAGGGCATGGGTGGACTGAGACCAAAATACTATTGAATGAGAGATCAGATTATGGCATTTGTTACACTGACCAGTCTTTTTTTCCCCTTTGTTCCTGGCTTACATATCCTATGTTCCATTTGAGGCTTTGTTTATGATGTTGTTGTGACTATTCAATCAGTATTAGCATCTATAAGCTGCTAAGAGCTTTACAACCAGTATATAGATATTAAGTGCAGTAAGATGATGTGTAAGAGTAAAATATTTCTAATTTATCCTTTCTTACTCAGTCTTGCGTTGAAACATGAAGCGGGGCTGAGAATAAGGGAAGCTCATTCTTGTCCTGTCATTATCAGTACATGGTTTCTCTGTGCAATAGGAGTCTAAGTTGTGGGGGTTCCCATTTGGCACCCTTCTAATAACTGTAAGGCTTCTGGAAATGAAAAAGAAAAAAAAGAAGAAAATCTGGGATGCTTTATGCTCTGTCCAATTTTTTTCTCCTTGAAGTTAGATTTGCCAACTGATTCTCTGATTTCCATTGTAAATTGAGTTCATCCAGCTTGTGGGACAATTAAGACAGAAAAAGATGTTCTTAAAAGCATAATTTGCCAAACAAAATGAACATTAGATTGTAGGGATTTCAAATTATTGTCCAAGCTATGGGAATAGGCAGGGGATCATTTTTTCCTGGAATGCAGGAATGGGGGAGGCTCTCTGAAGATCTGGTTTAATCGATTCCTAGATGTAACCTTTTCCTGTTTTTCATTTGGGCCTTTCTAGCTCCGCTTTCCTCTTTAGAATATGAGACTGATGTAATAGAAGCAAATACCAGCACCTCAGTGAAAGCTCCACAGCTTTCTTCTTTCAGGAAGGAGTCTAACAGATTTGAGCAGAGCAGAACAGTGTAGGATGTCTTGAAACTTGGAGCAGCTACAAGTTTAGGTACATATTTCAAATGTGGTGGAGGATTTTTTTTGTTTTTTGTTTTTTTTTTAGGTAAGTATAACTACCATTATAAAGAAATGTTCTGTGTATTCAACAGTGTTCTTAGCAATCCAATATGTCTCTATCAGAAAGATGGATTTGAGTTTTGTTACGCCTTAAGCTTGTTTGGCCATGACAAGAAGGAAGACTTCTCTTAAGTGTTGCTAAACGATCAGCAACTACAGAAGCTGAGATCCCTTTGAAAGTGACAGCTGCTGGTCTTCAATTTGCAGATAGCTCTGCTAATTACAAGAGACAAATACAAGAGGTTGTAGTTTTCCTGAACTTACTGACTTACACTTTGTGGTTTTTCAGTACTTTCTCTTCCCTACTCACAGATTTTTCTGAATGTGTGCTGAGCATGGAGGGTTGAGAGGAAGAAGTCAAGACTGCAATCAGAAATTAATGTATAATGGTTTTGGCTCTTATATGACTTGTTAAGCACTTTGGAAGGAGTCAAATTGGAATATTTTTCTATGTGTACTTATATAAAATGGAAATCCCTATGGCAATCATTTTATTCTTCAAGATTATGTGCAAACTCTTAGTTTGAATAGCACTTGGTTGCTAGAAATAGTAGAGTAAGTTAGATTTGCTTTCAGAGGCAGAGTAAACAGTCTTTGTTTTTAAAATGGTAGAAGTTTTAGGATAGACGGTTACTAAAGTCATTCTGGTAAGCAGTATCAAAGTTTTTAAGACTGTTGTGTTCACCATTCTATCTGATGGCATTTTCCATAAGTTATCTTAACTTATTCTGTAAGTCAGGATTTCTTTTTATTTCATTGTTGGTTTTGTTTTATGGGTTTTGTACGTTTGGTTTTAGTTTGTCTATTATAGTTTTGTTTACTGTGCTTTTTTAATGCTCTATAAAGCACAGTTAGCAGACCTTACTAGTCAGTGAAACAACTCTGTTTCAAATTGGAGATCGTGATCAGTAGTAATTTGAAAGAGCTAGAGCAGGAGCTGGTAATTCGGGTTTCGTGTTGTTGTTTGTTTAAACAGAGTCCTACATTTATAGATGACTTCTGAAAGCCTGTAGAAGGGTAGAAGAGACATAACTTTCTATCTAAAAAGGAGCTTTGTCAGTTTATGAAAGAAATTGTATAGAGTATTTTCCCCTAAACTTGAAGACAATGTCCCACCTGCCTTGATTTTCTTAAAGGCAGAATAACATTAAATAGGAGAAATTATGATAATCTTTCAAAAAACAAAACAAAAAAAAATCGTTTTCAGCCTTAATTCAAACCAACCTACCTCAAAGAATTCTATCAACATGCATTAAGATTTGCTATTTCAGATCTAGCTGAACTAAACTCTGGACCTACTTTTGTTTTGTTGGTTTTTTTTTTATTTATTTATTAATAGTTCATGATAGGAAGCCATATCTGCCTGATGTATAGCATCTAAATTACTGTTCTTCTGTTCTCTTCAGATAAATACAGGGCACCGATCGGAATTGACTCTATCGAGAGCAGAGGTGGGAAATGAAAGGAGCCAAAATTTGGAAAGCAGCCCTTTCATGTCAGATCTTCTAAGCGATGTACCCTTTGCCCTGGCACCACATGTGTTAGCAGTACAGGGCACCCATAATGATGTTCCTGACCGACTGCTCACCTACAACATCAATGACAATTTATCAAGATTTTGGTACGACTTCACGCTTGAAAATTCTGTACTTTGTGAGCCATAGTGTTTTCTTGATCTTTTCTGTGTGTCAAGGGAAAAGTCTGAATGTGAAGATAAAGATTTAGTTTGAGCAGCTTAATATTTTGGGGGCCTACCACTGATACAAGATCCACTGGATCAAAAGGATTGCTATTCAGTGCTATGTTATATTCCTTAGATTTAAGTGGACTGTAACTTACTATGTTAAGTGTTCTGTTTATCTACAAAGAAATCAAGCAAAACTGTTTCAGTTCGATGCTGGCTGTTGGTATCTGCTTCTCATAGGTAGGCTGTAGACACAAACATTTCATAAAGATGAAGTCCGAGTACAACTGCTCTGCTTTGTTTTTCATTCTGGTAATAAACGCGCAGATCCTGCTATACATGTTTCTTTAGATCACCTTTGATTTTCTGCAGATAGAAGCCAGTGTTAATAGTAAAGCATGCTTCTTTGTACTACTGGACAGAGAGTTTTCCAAGAGATAAGTTTTAAAACTCAGACTTAATTCTGAGTATTGAAATAATTTGGAGTACTTGATACAATTGATTACCAGTTTAAAGGTGACCGTGGGTTGCTCCACTCTCTTCCCTGTAGATGGTATTTTTGTGCCCTCATTTTGTGCCATTCCTGTTGCCTGGAGAAGTCCTATAAGGCTGCCTGTTGGCTGCTGTTTGTTCTCACTACCACATGTGTTCCTGATTTATAAACGGATCAGCTTTTCCATTTTAACCTCTTTGCCCCCTAAAGAAGGAAATCTCAGGACACGTACTTTTAATGGTCACACCCTCCTTTTTTTAATTTGTGTGCCAGAGATACAGATGGCAATGTTTAACAACAGGAAAACATTACATTGTTTCTTATCCAGCTAAATTAGATGGCTAAGTACCTAAACATGCTTTCTCACAGACCGCTGTGTTCCTAGCTCACATGCTTACAGCATGTTTTTTCCAACTAAAACCGGAGTTGCTGTTGTATGAGCAGCAGCTCTCTGATGTAATACCATGATTTGTGTGAATAATGCTCTGTGTTGCACAAAAGATTACACTTGTTTTCTCTCTTGGGGTATTCATATTGTGCCAAATCTTAGTCAGTAATTCCATATATTTTTATGCTCTGTGGTAGCTCAAAATATATATTTTTTCAGACTTACATTCTGTAGGTATTTGAGATAAATACCGTAAATGATGGAAAAATTGCATTGTGAATGTCTTAGGTTGTTACATATTCATGTTTAAGATTTAATCTTTTTTAATGTATGTATATAAGTGAATTTGTTAGTGTATGTTTAACAGTTGCGTTCATAAATGTTCTGAAATACTTGCTTCAGGGAAAGTAAGTGTACTGCATACCAATAAATAACTGTCAAATAATGTGTGACAATTAATACTTGGCTTGGCCTGTTTTCTTTTCTGTAGCAGTGACCATTGAGACTTTGTGGGAGCATGAAATTGTTTAAATTAGAAAATTTTTTCAGTGTCACTTTAAAATCAGGGTATTCAGTGAGTCTGTCAGACCTTCATCTGCTGTATTTTGTGCGTTGTGTTGGTGATGAGCAGTGGTTGGTTGGTATTGATGACACTGCTCTGAGGACACTGCTGCTGTGAGCTGAGTGCTCAGACCCTTTAGAGGGAAGAATTAATTTTACAAAGTTGCTTAGAACTGTTTTGTGTGCTGATTTTTCTAGTTAGAACATACCTGAAGCACTGTTTAATTTCCATGATTGTTTTATATTTCTCCTTTAAAAATTAACCATTTGGCATACAGAATGTTTCCATTTGAGATGTTCATCTCAAACCTGAAATGTCTCTCTAGCTCAGCTGGACTGGAAGCAGAATTGCACGATGCTGCTGAGAAGCCAACAAACTCACAATACTCGTTCTTCCCTTGTCAGCTGACAGCACATAACTTTTTTTGGCATTTGTTTTTGATTAAAGCTAGATAACCCATCTAAAATAATTATATCTTGTCAGAGTCATGTTCTGCTGTGCTCACAAGCCAATACGGTGTCCTTTTAAAAGAAAAGAACATGCAAAAGAGCGTGAGGATGAGGTTGCATTCGCCCATGGTGAGAAATATGGTTGGTAGGTTAAGCATCTGGCCTGCACCTTGGCCATGTTCCTTAAAGGTTAAGATTTGCACATAGCAAGAGTTCTCGTAACGAGCAGGGGTACTGGAGTGCATCTCCTCGCTGCCCTCTCTTTAGCAAGGGTTGAGGCTTTCCCTTGCTTAACATCATCCATAAAAAGTAGATTGAAGCTTAATGGTATCCAGACCACAAAGGTGAACTTCTTCCCACTGGGATAAGAAAAAAGACACTTAGACTGTTATAAATTAGTAAGATTTATGGATTTGCCTGCTAATAACATGAAGATGGTACAGAATCTCTGGAAAATGAAAGATTTCAAACAGTCTTAATTCATATAAAAGTGTATAGCACTGTAAATGCGTATCAGTCACTGTCAGCAAATGCTGAATGGTTGTCCTTCAAACATTAGGCCACTGATTTTAAAAAATGGAAGTATAAACTATTATAATATAATCAATATTGAGATCTAGGTAGTAAAATGCCCCAGCCAGTCTTTTCTATATGTTCTGTATATTAAAACAAGAACTGGAATAAAGCTGTTTGCATTGTGTCATGGGTACGTATGTAAATTGTTTAGACAGAACTGAAAGATATTTCATAGCTGATATCAGCAACATCAGAGTTAAGACAGGTTGTCAACTCCAGAGCTAATGATGAAAGCCTGAGCTATGATCCTGTATCCGGTGGAATGCTGGAAATGGGAGCTTTGCTGCTGCAATTAGTGGACACTTTACTCGGCCTTTACTCTTTTATTAAATAGTTTATTTAGGTAGAGTTTGGTTCATGGGATATTTTGAGTTTCATTTGTAGTTCTGTACATTTTCCTTGCAAGAGATGTATACTCTGCTTTGTGTGATGGCTTCCTTATGGAGCTTTCTAATAAATCAAACATAACAAGACACTTCTTATTTCCTCTGGAAAAGTAGTAAATACAGGCCTCTGGAACAGCCTAATTTTAAATGTAGAGAAAGGAGACCAAAGCTCACATGTTCAAAGGTAAATCAAAGTATAATTGCATCCAGAGCAGCTCTACGGAAGGCTGAGTGTGAGCCCATCCCTACAGACAGCTCCCTGGTGACAAACTGAGAAGTGGAACCAGACAACACTGTGCAAAGGAGGTCAGTCCAGGAGATGGTTACAGATCCCCTTTCTGTTGTTTTCTATATAGTACGACCTGAACCTTGTTACCACAGCTGGCAGTGCATGCTTGTGCGGTCATGGATGAGAGGTTTTGACCCTAGAGCAAAAAAAAAAAGAGTGAAAGGCAAAGAGTATATTCACCATGCTAGTTACAGCAGCTCAAAATAATATGCAGTTTATCGCATTGTTAGCTGGAGAACCTGTCATGTCCACAAAAAGCTGAAGCAGCCTCCCTGTGTGAGACGAGCGGGCTGCTCAGAACAATAGCATGAAGCTTGTGCTTGAGAAACCGCTTTCCTCTCCTCCCCACCGCCCTTTTGTTATGACATAATCATTCATCTTGCTTTGGGTTTTCTCAACCTAGTGAGTACAGAGAGGAACCAGAACTGCAACTAACAGGGGCTAACTCCTTCCCTTCTTAGGTAACTGCAACAGTTCCTCTGATGACAAGGCGATTCCAGATTAACCAGATTTCCTTTCAAAGCCAGAATGTGTCTGCTACAGCAGCAGAGGCCGAGCCTGGCAAGTAAGTCCTTAAAATCCAAACGCAGTCTCCTTCTATGTGCCAAAGGGCACAAAAGGAAGAGGAAAGTTTAATAAGCATGTTGGATTTGCTCAGCCCATCTGCTGTGATGAATTTCCATGAACATAACGAGCTCACAAAGTTAGCCATAGGTACATCAGGCCTAATTTCTTCCCATCAATGTCACATTCCTTGAAGTAGCATTGTGAATCTCCCCATTATCCACTGAGGCCATATTCTTTCTTAGATATTTCCTTCCTTTGATTCTTCTAGAGAACTGCCCCTTTCTTTTCAATATCTTTTACAGAGATGAGACTGTTTCCAGAAAATAGACCCAGCCTTCATCCTGCAAAGGGGACCCTTTTGCATACGCACTTTGTTAGCCTTCCTTCTGGCTGAATCAGAGCCATCCAAAAGAAGCAATGTAAGTATTCATTCCTACTGGAGGAGGAGAAAAGACACTACCTTGTTCCTGTTAACAGTCAGCTAATTTGGAGGCATTGCTGCCCATAAAACACAACTTGATTTTTTTATCAATTTGGAATTTCGTCATTTTCAGATTCCATGAGTCTAAGAAGAAAATTCAAGGCATGGTGCCTCACTGTTTAGTTCTGAAGAGCAAATTTTAGGTTTTTGTGTTTGATATTCCCTTTGCTCTATGTGATGCCAGTGAGTAAGACTATTTTAATTCTTCAGCATGTGCTGATGAGCCTGCTGAGAAGGAATAAGATCCAAGAAGCAATAAGATCCAAAGCACTGCTTTGACTTCTGTGGATGAAGTCCTTAGGCAATTCTGTATGCAGAAGCATTTTCCTCCATGTATAAATGCTTTAAACAATTAATAAAACTTTCAAAAATAATGTTTCAAACTTTATTTTCTGAGGCACATTAGTGGCAAACTTTTGTGCTTTCATGAGGAGTGCTAAAGGTCTTGACTAAGGCTGGCTATTCTGCATGCAATTACTTTGAGGCAATTGGAAACTACTGGTTTTGTACAAATATCTACCTACTGTGAAATGGCAGAGTCCTCATATTTCCTTTATTTCTTTACATTTTTTGGAACAAAGAACACATGGTGGAATTAAATCAAACTAAAGGGGGAAAGGATGGCAAGGACATGTAAAGAAGTTTTCGTTATAGTAGCTAAAACTGGCTTTAAGGAAAATGCAGAAACTAAATGAAATGCAGATGCTAACAGTATGACAAAGCTATTATATTGGTGATCTAAACTGGGAAGTAAATTGGTGTTGGTATTGTGCTTAGTGGTGTCTTTTTTTGTGTACATGCAGCACATAGCACAAAGGTCCCTAGTGTTACTGCCTCTGTTGTTTACAGGTAGCGTAATATGTAGAGTAACTACTGCGTACTTCTTTCAACATCTCAGAGCTGATATTTGTTTTCAGTCCGCAGCCTTCCAGGCTGTAGCCTTTGTAGCCTTTCTAGTCTGTATTTAACCACAGAAGGGCAATGAATATTAAAGTTTACTTTCTAATGAGACATCAGAGTTGCTCAAAGAGCATTGCTGTATCAGAGCTCAGCAGTTTGTCATATACATTCCTCCTACAGAAGCAAAACTGTGTGAGCATGCTGCATGGTTCCTACAAGAACCAGGAACTGCAGAGCTTTCAGCCTTATGCTGCCAGCTATGGTGAGATACTGGAGAAGCTTTTTTAATTCTTGGACAAAATAGAGTATCTAGTGGTGGAAATGGATGACCCCAGAAGGATGGAACAGCTGTAGAACAGAAGAAAGAGAGGCTTTGGTTCTGCCAGCCAATTCAACTCACTTTTCCTTTCTGCAAAGATAAAATAAACTCTTGAGATCAAAGATCTCATTTACAAGGCTGTCGTCTTAAGTCAGTCAGCACATGCACTTCAATAACAGAACATAAAAGAAACTTCTCACAAGCAAACAAAAAAAAAAGATGAATATCAATTATAAACATCCCTCATCCAATTGTGTGTGGGTATCAGCTTTATGATGAGAGTAGCCACTTGTATCCAAATGTTCATCTAACTATTTCAAGGGGTTGGAACTGGCATCCTAAATTACAGTGAAAAGAAGTTTAAAGCAGATGGGCTCAGAAAATAGGCTCAGGTGAAATGGGCCATCATGAGGAGAAAGAAACTACTTGTTTAAATGAACTGATACTGACTAGAACAGCAAAAGATCTTGGGACTTCATTCTGAGCACGGTGTCACCGCTTTTTGTGAAGAGATCTGCTGTTTGTCTGTTCTGCTCAAGAAAATCAAGCAATGTGTGGTGCTTTGGAAACTACGTTGTAATTTCCTTTTTCAGCTGTTTTTAGAAACTGCTGGTACATCTGCTTGGCTTACTCTGCTCTTAAAGACATTTTTAGGTTCCTGTAGCTCTGATTTTGACTATTATATGTTTAGATAGGGCTTTTGTCAAATACGTAATATTTGTCTTACCCACTGAGACAAAGGATATTTTTGTTGTTGTTTGACTTTAATGTCTTTTGTAGTTTGGTTAGTTCTCCTTCGGTAATCTCTCAAATAAAAAAACATTTACACTTCTCCTTCTACTTGGTAGGATGGAGTAGAACATATGCATTAAATTTATCCCAGAAAGGATTGCCAAATTTTATTTCAAATAGCATTACAGTACTTG